AGCTGAAATTCTAATCACGCCGCGAATCGGTCTCATCAGGAGCCTTGCTGATTCAGAGGCATTCCGTCCCATTCGGTTCCAAACAGGACACGCTCACAACTCAATAACTCACAGTCGGTTGAGAAGACGTGGATTGGGACATAACCAGGGTGATTTTCTTCACCAAACATACCATCCTGAGCCCGAAAGCTGATGCCAATGGCTGGTGGCTTCAATCCCCTTCACTTCTCCACCCTCTCCCCCCACATTCCTCTGCAGGAGTCATGACTGTACAAGAAAGTAATGTAGGCCAAACCATAAGCGTAATATTGTCTTTACGGAACCCACTTCAGGAGCGTGGTGGTTGCTAGTCAGGGAAGGAGCCTTTGGCTCGGAAAGCATTGAAGCTCATAGAAGATATAAAAGGGATGACGCGATCAGAAATGACTTGTACATCCCTCCACATTAAAGGGCTGGACATTTACTGTAGCGACCTAGCGACCCTCAATGTATAGAGATACTGAGGCAAACGGTTTTTCATGTGAACATACCTCCTCATACAATTATTATGCAACTTTCGATTCTTGCAGAGTCCTGTGGCGAAACCGCGGCCCACTCATGGACGACAACACTCGCTATAAGATCTTATATTACCACGAAGGAACTCGAAATGTACTTGCTCTGGGAGAGTCGCCAGGCTTCCAACTGGCTTCCTTCCACCCGCTAAAAATTTATTCAAAATAGTAAGTTCGCAGTTAACCTCACAGTGCTTCGCTCAAAATTCAATTTCGATGACAGTTGATGGTATGACACATTTTGTGAGAATCCTCATAAGAACAACTAAAACAAAAGAGGTAATTCTCCATGTTCAGTAGTGAATTGCCGAAACTGAGGTAGAGAGCGTGGTGGACTATCTACGGGTTCACGGGTAGAAATGCCTAGCATAAAGCCATGACACGAGAAGGACGACTTCCGCTATGCGCCTTAAACTTTGGAATTCGATTTGAAGCGAGGAGGGGCAGGCGATAAGTGAAAACTATCGCGGCAAACGGCACTCTTCAAGGAAAAGTTCTATGGATTGCTCTCATATTCTCTTAATGTCGTGTTTATGTAAAACATCGGTCCCATTGCTTTCATAGTTCTCACACCAGCAAATAATAAAGTTGACGAATGCAAATGCCGCATGCGTAGCGGAAATACGGCGCGACTCGGCCTCCCTCGATGAGACGGCCGATCGACATTCGTGGATTCCTGGCCAGGGTAAAACATCACGTCGAGGGAGATAGGGCGGAGGATGGTACGAGCCTCGTGCATGTACTCGACACCTTCCCGAACGAGAGTGGCATTCATAAAAACCCAGACCTATAGAACAACTCTTCAAGCAACCTGTTTCTTGTGGCTCATAAGGAACTATAAGCCTAAAGCGACACTGTACATCCATCTCCGATTTATTGCAAAAGTTATGATTCTCAAGGCAGCCATATCGTCGCAGAGCGCTCCACGGCAAAGCTTAGAAGTGCAGACGGTGTTCCAAAGAGTTTTCGGCAAATCTGCAAGCTTACGAGTGCAAAAGCTGAAAAAACAGAGCGGTTCGACTTCTTGGGACAAGCATAATTTACTAATTTTTTTAATCTGATTTGCTTTTTCTACAGCAGCACACCAGCTGGGCTTCGATCACCCATAATGCTCCTATGTCGCGGCTGCTTTCAGTACTGACTTCTGCAAATACGACCCTCCTCCCTAGAAGGGTCAAATACGACCCCCATTGCGGATACCGCGACTAATATCGCCACCGCGACAAGCAACGCCTGCCTGTGCCCAGTCTTTCTTCGCGATCGCAAAAACATCGCTTTGTACGCCTCGCATGTGTGCTGACGGTAAATTTTTCTCTCTCTCCTCTCCCGATCCACCTAATTTGGGGAAACTTCTGATATCCACTTAACTAGGAGAGTCAAATTTCCAAGGAATTGTCAACTCACGCTGTGTCACTAATGTTTCTCGATTATTCTCCTAATTTGTAGAGATGGAACTGCACCCTTGAAGCAAAGGCGAGGGAATTGACGAAGAATTGTGCTCATTCCAAAGACCAATTGCAGGATCAAGGAAAGAATTTACCAGTGAGTAAATTAGCCTGATTTTCTTTACAGCCGCTACATGCTCTACTCGATACTCGAGCCATTTTCAGTGACATTGTGCCAGAACCAGTAACTGAAAACCCAAGCGAGCTTAGAATGCGAAAGTATAACTTCATAAGTGCAGCAATAGATGATTGGCTCATGCCATCAGATAGATATCCCATAGAGGGTGACGTAGATACAAAGAGAGTTTGTATAGTGATAGCAATCTGTACACCTTCGCCAATGTAAGTTACTTATTTGAAACCGTTGCTTTTGTCCATTTGAACCAGGACAGTCGATTTTTAGATGGCCTATGATAAGATTTACGAAGTCGGCTGTAATTATGAAGAGTGTCCCAAAGGGGATGAGACACAAGCCTCGCTTATTTGCATCTACAACACAAAGTAAGAGCCAATATGAACACTTTCTCAGAGATGTTGTTGTCGATCGCTCACATTCCTTTCCAGGGTTCCTGATCCACACACCTCTGTACCAAGTGGGAAGCAAAGGACCCAGATCATGCGGGCTGCGATAAGAATAATACAGTATGTCAACATCTTGGTAAAGCAGAAGCCACATGCGATGACCTTCTCTGCAAACTACCCAACGTGGTTTCAAGTTTCCTCTGATTCCTCATTTTCCCCATTGATGGTAAGAAATAAATTTTCGCTACACTCCTCCATAAATGGTGTAGAACAGAAGGTTTAACAACCTCAACAGTGAAAATCTCTCGGATGTGTAGTGCATTCGAGCATGACTGTGAACATCAAATTATTCGATACAAAGAGCAGTGGACTTCCACAAAAGAACCACGACAACACATCACAAAAGAAGTTGCAAAGGAAATGAAATAAAAAAGGTCACAACTTTCACCGTCTCTTTCTGAGAAGCGCCACGCACTCTACCTTTTCGAAGCCCGAGTATAAAAATCAGCGCCGGATTTTTGAACCAGGCATAATAGAAGGAGAGTGCGGCGCTCACTGCTCAAATTTGTTTTGTGCCGGACTAGTAGTTGCGTGTAAAGGTGTTCTCAAAATGTAAGGTAAAAGATTTGTTTTAGGAGCCCGAAGAAGGAAGAAAGAAGAAAAATTTGTTGTCGTGGATGGTCCCATAATGTTCATCCTGCACAAGAAAAAAGGGTGGATAGTCAAGCGCTGATTGTCTGATAACAGCGGCTAGAATCAGAGTAGAAAATCGTCACTGTCGATGTATACTGCCTGTTTTCTTCGACAATCAGATCGATAAATGGACGGTACCACAACTACAAGAAGGCCACCATTCCTCGCCAAAAAGGCAGACCCGGAAAAACTGCATTATAGATGCAGTACTAGGACACGATCAATATTGAGATCTGAGTTCAATCACCCCATTCGCCGAACATGAAGCCGCGCGATTTCAATTGTTCTGGTCAGTCGAAGGTATCGTCCGACGGCAAACGGTAAAGCGTTTTTTCATTATCCGAAATGGGCATCAAGAGCCATTTACTCGCACTCTTTCAAAAACACAAGGAAGCGAGCGTCCAAAGCGTTGGCACTGGAGCAGGTCATTGGTGAAGGAGGGATCTACTCATTTCAAAGCTAGAATATTACTTTTTTCATCTGATTTTCTCTTCGTTTCGTTTTATATGAGTAAAACTTTCCGCACTATTTGAATGGGATGACCTAGTAGTATTTGAGAGGCTGCCCAAAGGATGGGCACTTGTCTCAGGCATCAAAAACAAACTGCAGCCTTTTCCGATGACGGTTGACGTTGACAAGTGGAGCGTTTGGCTATGGTTAGACATGCGGCGGCGTGGCCAGCGGCACGCTTTCAAGTCGCTCACCTGCGCGGGATGTAAGGCACTCTACTCTTCGCGTACGCATTATCAGAAATGAGAGTATGAAGCTCACTCCACATGGCAGTATGCGTTTTGACGTTGCTTCGACAATCAATGATGTGAAGTTTGATCATCTAAGGGCGAGCACAAAAACTGCGTCAAACTCGACAGGGCATCACAGCTCGGTCTAGGACACACTTGCGAAGTTTGCGGCAATGCTTATGGTAGGTGCGATTCGGATTCACATGCTATACGCTCCCTCGAGGAAGAAGACCACTAGTGACCCTGCCCTCTCTACGTGAACCATGCTCATGTATTTCGCCTCTCTACTTCTCGACTTCTTACTCTTCCGACGATTCGAACTGTGTAATCTTTCAGCGTATATACCCTTGTTCGCTGCGGACGGTTGGGCGTGTCAGGCAGTATGAGTGTGTCACCCCGTCAAAGCCGTTCTCTGCCTTCTTGTTGAAGCGCGCATGCGACAAAAAGTGGTAGAAAACGAGTAATATGAACGACCTCAGTTACAGTCAGTCACATCAACTGCTCCCTTTACAGCTGGTGGAGAACGGGTTCGGCACCACGCCAAACTCGTCCCGCCTGACACGCCCAACCGTCCGCAGCGAATAACACTATATAGTGCTCCGAAAATCGTTGTTGATAGTTCAGACGAACGCCAACGAGAGATTCTTCCACACGACCGTGATTCACGCCTGAGTTCAGCGAGGTCGTTGATTTCTCCGCCACTGTAGACCACCCTGTTGAGCTCCGCCAACCCGGTAATCGAGGGGGTTTAGGTCAGGTGACACACTTGGATATTCCGTCTTCTTCAGGTACTCAACGCCCTTCGATTCCAAGTAGGCGAGAGTTTTTCGATTCCATGTGCTGGCACCCAATCCTGTAGCAGTACAAAGTTTCCAAGACGGTGCAGGGCGACGACATGAAGGCAGGATATTCTCCTCGAGTGTTCGATGTAACAGTCAGCGTTTACTTTCAGTCCGGAGTTTAGGAAGACAATACC